GTAGAAAGCAAACCGTTTTCCTTTTGTAGGTCCAAACAGTGGCTACTGATAGTCGTCTTGTAAAAACGGGTGGAATGAAACGAAGTCATTTAACGTCTTTCTCCTAACGAAAATTTTATTAAGAGGAGGACTGGCACTAGTCAATGAACACCAATTGCACCTACAAATTGCAAAGATTCCAACCATTCCAGGCTGATTTCGTAGACACTTTGTAGGGTCAAAGTTTTGATACAGAGAAACTGGAGTTACACGTTTAGGAAGTGGTGGGCATCGTTAATTGAAATTTATGAACAGAAGAGGACGTGGTCGATCACGTGACGAGGTAATTTGGATTTTTTTTTCAAGTTTTTGTTAAGGTTAGTTTACTTTACCACCTGTTTTTCAAGGAGGATGTCTTTAACAATAGTTTTTGGAAAATTTGCATAAAAATCGCAAATCACGTAGAACCAGGCCTTAATCTCTTGAGCACGCGCGTTCCTCTCCTGTAAATTTTCCTTAGCTAGCCTTAGTCTTAATTTCATATCAGTTTTGCACGAATTGTCCCGCCTCAAATAGCCTTACTAGCCGTGGGGAATGCTTCTGTAATATTATCTGTTTATTAATAAAATTTGTTGCTGTTGTTGTTGTTTTTAAGGGAATAGAGAAACCTAAAACATCATACCCGAAAGTACCGCGAAAAACCCCTGTGACAGTTTATCAGAAGTACCAAGGAAATTAAGGACTCGAAGTCGTGGGACGGAATGGCTTAAGAGAGGGGAAGCTCAAAAGGAAAGTGAAGCATTATATTTCTCATCGGGCCGCACAAGACCAGGCAGCTGACCAGGCTTTGCGAGCAAACAGTGTAAAGGAGCTAATTGAAAATCGATTCAAAACTGATGTCCGGCATGCAGAATGTGTGGAGAAAGAGTAGAGGTGAGCCCTCTAGAAGCAGAATGCATTGCACTTGCACAGAAACACAATATAAGTCATGGAGACGGGCACGATAAGGCCGCCCAGGTTATCCGTTGGGATCTTAGCGAGAAATGTGACTTTGAAAGGACAGCAAACTGGTTTTACAAGAAACCTGATCCAGTCTGTGATTCTGAGAAGTACAAACTGTTATCGGATTATGATTTTAAGATCCAAACAGACCATCACATTGAACACAACAAGCCCGATATTAATAAGGAGGATACGAATCCGGTGCATTATATTTGATGTTGCCGTCCCATTCGACACCAGATAGTAAGCAAGGAAAGAGTCAAAGAGGGAAGATCGATAATTACTGTGACATGACTCATACGAGATCAAACCAATTTGGAACTGTCGTTCATTTCAAGTCATTCCAATAGTAGTTGGTGCACTGGGAACAGTTTCGAAAGGACCGAGAAAGGATTTGAAATGCGGCTGAGACAGTTTTTACAACGAATAACCTAACTTGCTGCGGTCAGGAAGGATTCTGCGAAGTCCTGGACACTAGATTATATTGAGGATTGAATGACGGTACCAGGGGTACGGATAAGTATCCTAGGCCACAGGCTGTGACCCGATACTCAGTAACATTTCATGCATTATGTAATCATCGTCATCATCATCATCATTATTTCTATGGCGCAATTTCTACTAATAAACCAATTGCGCTTAGTAAATTTACTAAAATACACACAATGTATATAAAAATTGCATCATATTTAATATTTAGGAACAAATTTTAAGTGAAAAAGATCAAAAATCTAATGTGAAAAAAGTCAAAAGGAGGGACTATATGAATACGGAAAAGTCTCAACTCTACTAATCTTAAAATAAGTTAAGCTTGCATTAGTACCGATTGTCTGGTTGTCCACTCTATCCTCTCTGTTTCTCTCATTTATCACTAAGCCGCCAAAATCTGTAACATGTTAGCGTTTAAACGGTTACCAGGAGACCCATAACCTGCGGTTCCCCCTCCAAGGGCGCTCAAGTCCCAGAGGGGTAGTCCGTATTTCAAGTGGCGGGGATGAACGAAACAGGAGCAAAAATTAACCCCCCCCCCCCCCGCAAAGAACTAGGGTTTTTCCAACAAACCCACAAAAATTCCTGGACCAAAAGTTACCCCCCAAAACAACCTCGTCCCCAGGGCGCTTTTCCCTGGCTTTGGAGGTGAGGAGGGAAAGGCCTTTTCCTTTTCCCGCCTCACCTCCAAAGCCAGGGAAAAGCGCAATGGGGACGAGGTTGCCCCAAAAAAATCCTATGCCGAATTTTCGAGGATTAAAAATTTCCAGAGGGCATTAAAGTTTGGTTGTACTTTATTCGCAGAACTGCTCGGCTGGGATAGGCGGGCACTACCACGAATCATTTGATTGTTTTTAAAAACCCTTACTTACACCAAGCCACCAAACAAAATAAATGCCAAACTTTCCTACCCCAAAAAATTCCGGAGTCGAAAATTTCAAACCCCAAAAAATCCTTCGATCATTCCCATCATTAGAAATCCAGACTACCCCGCCCCACTGGGCGCAAGTGAAGTTTGGGTAGAGGTGCGCTAAAACCAAGCATTGTTCAGCGACAGGTCCAATAAGGGAGTACCAATCCCCCCCCCTCCCCCCGCTCCCCGACGGGCCTGACCGTGGGTGGACGGTAGATTATTCGATAGAACTTCCAAATCTTGCGACTTCCGACTTCCGTTGCGAGCTATTGCACGTGATAACATCTGTATTTCTGATTGGCTACACAATGTATGTAAACAAGGTCCAAAGAAGAGCGTAAAAGGAAAATTTTCATTGACGACGAAGAGAAACTGTAGGTGTTGCTGTCCTTTTTTTCCATTTTAAAAAAGGTTTTGCCGTTTATTCCAGAGCAGTGATGTCTAACACAGTAAATGGAGGAAGTCACAGCTCCACTGAGTCTTTAAATGGCGAGTGTAAACATTCTAAACCGCGCTTTCGAGGAGATTTTGTCTTTTGTTATCGCTTCGTTAAATAATATTAGCAGCTTAACTCTCGCTCATGTCCGCTGTCTTTTCTTCTTTCGTACAGGGTCGTGGGTGAAATTAGACGGTTCGTTTAGAAACGGCAATGGAGCTCAACATTCTCCAGTGATTTCCGAGGACGGTGCTGTGGAAGATCTACTTGCCGAAGCTGTCGAGGAGCAATCGAAGCAAGGATCAAGGTAACTGATTACAAAGCGCTGGGATGTGGTTTGAAAACTGTTGATTGTATTTCTAAGCGGATGTTGATTTAAAGAATACTTTTGTTAATAACGATATGACTAACGTTTCTCTTTTTCATTAAAAGCGGTGAGAAAAGTCCATTTGGTTCACCGCGAGGCGAAGAATGTGCACAAGGACTTCTAAGAACAGTGAGTAAGCCTTTGTTTGTCGCATACTAGATTTTTCATGTCGCGCGATGTAAGCTTAGGCTTAAGCTTATATTTGAAAACGCTTTGCCGTATAAAAGACCAATTTATTTACTTAAAGTCCTCACTAAAATTGTTCTGTGATTAATGGATTAAAGCCATCTTTGACAGCAATATAAATGTATGGAAAGAGGGGATATTAGTTGCGTGTGTAATGATCCTCTGCATTGTCGGCCTATAAAAAGTATGCACGAAAATATTACACGTTACTTGAATGGCACTCAAAGGCCTTCTGATATGATCTCTCGTAAATTATCTTGGAGTTGTGTATTCGGATTTCGATTGATTGAACTGAGATTTTTTTTTAAGGTTTTTAAATTTCATTGCATGGGATAGAAACGGGATTGGCGGAGGGTCGCCGTGTGGGCCGGGGTACAGTACATCAAAAACCAGGTTCGTCAGTCACCCCAGCTTAGCTGAAATTGTTACATGGAATCCGGAGCAGTTGGACCAAACCTTTAGAAATATGTTTTACAGCCCTGCCATATCATAATTGGCAGTAAAGAACTTGCATGTCATATTTTGTTCATGTGCTTGCTGTAAATATTGGGTCTGCTTTGTTTAAAAGTCAATAAAATGATTCAGTGGTGAATTATGACATTTTTTTTCTTCAAAGGCCCTTTGTTAGGTCACTCTTTTAAGTTATGACCCAGTTTTGGATAAAGCAGTTCTCTTAAGGTTATTGAACCTTGACCCTTTTACTGAACAGTAAGAGCACAAAAAAAATACCCAACTGTCCCCATGACCAAGTGTTAGGTGTGATAAAAATTGAAGACCCCAGACGGGTTTCTGAAAGCCTGATTAGCTGATCCAGGAATAACACTTTTAATTTATTCACCATTTTCACATACATCAGGCTATAACACCTTGTTTACCCTCCCCCCCCCCCAAAAAAAAAAAAAAAAAAAAAAAAATATATAAAAAATAAAGAATATTTTTTTATAGAATGATATTAAGAATAATATTTTTTGTATATTTTATTTTAATAAAAAAATTTATTTAGTTCTTTTTTAAAATGTTAGATCTTGTTTTTTCTCTTTAACAAAAAATAAATGAAAAAAAAAAAAATTCTACCGTCCCCAAGACAAAGGGTTGGGGTTGAAAAAAATTGAAGACCCCAGACGGGTTTTTTAAAGCCTTATTTGCTTTTCCAAGAATAACCCTTTTTATTTTTTCCCCATTTTTCAATAATTCAGGTTATAACACCTTTTTTTCCCTCCCCCCCCCCCCCAAAAAAAAAACGAAAAAAAAATTGTATAACCATTAATGTCTGATTTCTCTGGGGATAACTGTAAGAACAATGGTTATGCAAAATTTTGCAGAGTAAACAAGATGCATTATGGCCTATGTGAAAATGGTGAATGTGAGATTGTATTTGCTTTACTATGCATTAACACTTTTAATATTGTGTGGTGCTCAACTGGATCTTGGAGTTGAGGATCATAAATATTTTTATTTCAGCTCCATGCCTGTTTGGCAAGTTTAAAACAAGATCATTTGCTTAAAATTTAGCTTAACCCTTGCGATAAAAATAACCATCTTTTGAGGAACTGTTCCTTCACCTTCAATGACTACCTGGCATGGAATGTTCCCCTTTCAAGGCAGAGAGGGTATTAGAACCATTACTTTGTTATACCCTCTACAGGTGCATGAACATTGACCTGGCCACTGAGGCATGTAACTGGTCTTACTCTCCTAACAGCGCAATATGCTATTTGATTTGTCATGCAAAGATGCTCCCAAATGTGTAGTAAAATCTTTCAACACCTTCCAATTCCTAGCATTTTTTATCCTTACAATATCATTTTTTATATATATTCCAGGCTGATCAAGTTCTTCCTCAGGAACAAAACACTGATTGGATCTGGGAGTGGTCCAGTCGAATTGAGGTTCAACCTCAAAAGTAAGAACTTTACATTGCATCTCATTGTACATCAGTTGAGATACTAAGGGCATTTTCCATTTACCAGAACTGATTGGCCAGTCTATTCCTGCCATAATGGGAATTTCACTTTTAATCAAAACTATCTAGCTAGATCAGTCAAATCCTTAATAGTATGCACAAAGTGGATGCATGGTTTTTCAGCAAAAACGCTGGGAAAAAGCCGATTTCATTTGCTAATGGACTGGTCCGGCTAGCGAATTCTGATGGATGGAAAGCAACCTGAGAAATACTGTAAGATTATATGCCTCAGTGTTAATTTCTTGCTTTTAATAATTTTATTGTATTTTAATTGGAAGTCAGTATATTATTATTACTTTATATTAAAATAATAAAATATTACTGTCTCCCAATAATATTTAAGTCAGAGATGTCTTTAAGTAACCCGTAACACCTGTAACAGCTGAGCTCATACGATATTATGAGTGGAAAAGTTATAAAGTGGAAAGTTAAAGATGTCCACACTACTATTTTTTTTTTTTTGGTGAGATGTTATGGGTGAATCTTCAGTTGCTACAGCTGCTTCAAGAAGTAATGACTGAGCCCTGACAATGAAATTAAAGTTCATAGTAAAGTTTTATTAGTTATAATGACTGCATTTATTTCATCATATGGCTTTGAGGAATGATTGTTATTATTGAAAACTAAATAGGGAATGGAAGATGCAACATCCAAGAAAAAAATCCAAACCGCGTGGCACCCCTCTCAGCATCAGAGGCACAAAGGTTATGAAAAGGTACCAGTAATTTTTACAAAACTAAGTGTTGCAATATAACACTACATGAGAAATTTCTGCAAATTGATTGGCTTAGAGCAGTGGTTTTTCGGCTTAACTTGAAATACCTACATGTGAAAATTACAAACCTTTGTGGGTTGTAGTATAAACAAATAATAGCATGATTTGTATGTGATATTTGGCAAAAATACCAGCCGTGATGTTTCAAAATTGTCTCAAATTTCATATAACAATTTCGGAATATCACTCGTGGTATTTATGCCAAATATGACTACAAATCATGGTATTACCTGTGCTAATTATTGTAATATAATTATTATGTGCAGCATGAGAAAAAAACAAGCTGTGATTTATTTATTTGTGTTATGTACCTATTAATTTTTTTGTAGCAGCACTGAGCTAATGAACATCAATTTCTACATTGTTGTACCTGCTCTTGTGGTATCACATCTCATTGCCTTTGGAATTGGGTAAGTTATGTGTAACTTCATTTTCTGTTCTGGTCGTAGCACCGTTAAGGCGGTAATTGTCTGGCAGATTTGTTGATAGCCCACAAGTGGTATTTTTGTAGCTCTCTTTGTATAACTTATAATATTGTAGGTGACGAATTACTCCTTAATTTTGGGGCCAAATTTCAGCATTAATTTGTAATTTCACATGTGAAATTACCAAATTGCCATGGCAACCCTTCCGTCCGTCTCAGTGTCAAGATGGTGACAAAGTTTTAAAATGCAGTGAATGAAGATGTCAGGGCACAAAATACGCTTTACAAAACCTGAACACACAAGAGAACATCAAGAAGGATTCTAACAGGTATTTTGCCGAAAAAGTTTGAAAAATTCTCAACTTTATAAGCCAAATTTAAGGTCTAAACATTTGAGAGAGTGGAGTTCTCGATCGATACGATCCAGGATAAACATGTCAAAGATCCAAGATTGCTAACGTACTTCGTCACCCATGATATTAATAGGTAATCAAATGGTATACTCGTGAAATTATTCCCTAATTTCACTCGTCACCATTTGATTACACATACTAATTATATGCCTACTTGGTCTAAAACAATAGCTACACTTGTAAATTACACTTGTAAAAGTTTAATTAGCATATTGAACCAGGCATAAATCTCCTGATTCCCTGTACATCTACACTGTGTATGTATACTGGTCACCACTTAATTAATGACCACAATTTGTTTCATTATTTGTTTCGCAGAGTTTACGTTGGACGGCGCATGGTTCAAGTTGATCTATGATGACAGTAACAAAATACCAAATGAAAGGCTGTGGACAAAAAAGTTCCCTCATCTGCTGAGCTGCTAAATTGAAAACTGCTTTTAAATTGGATTGCATGTGTTTTACATACAATGTAATCAACTAGCTCAACAAACAAGCTGAAGTGTATATTTTCAAGACATATTATATAATTATTGAGTTTTTAATAATTTAAAGGGGCTCACAATAACATTATTTAGAGTAAACATCCAAAAATTAAAAAATGGTCTCCTAAATTATATTTCTTCACCTACACTGCATTAGCTAATTTTTTCTTTGTTTGTTTTCACATTAACATTTTAAACTTAATTTCACTTAAATTTTAATAAAACCCTGCTCTCCAGGAATTAAGTCAATAATTTTATTAATGGTCTTCTCCAATAGAAAGGAGGCTGTACATGCATGAGTACAAATAACTGCAATGATCTGATCTTGCAGAGTGAAATAACTTGTACCTCTTGGGTATGTTGTGTGTCTGAAGTACTCATCAACTAAGTTTGTGGGTTATGTCTTAGTTTTTCTTTTTGGCCCGAGTTTCAAAGCTGTCAAACCTTTAATCTCATTATTTTCTGGGTGGTTCATTGACAAAAGGGTATTAAGTTATTTAATATAATGTTTTTGAAAATTAATTTAATGTTTGTTTAAAATATATATCAGGAAAGGTTACAGCAGTCCATATGGGTTAAAGATGCCGTACACTGCACGCTCAATTACCAGCTGCTGTTCAGGAAAATTTTAGCCCACGCTTATCCTCCTGAAATAGTCTCTTCGGTAAGGATCAAAGACCAGACCCGGAAGATGGCAGAGATTGATGAGCCTACCCTACACTAATATGTTAATGAATATCAAACATTTGCCTGGCTCACGCGCGTTTTTCAGTCACACGCCTGATATCCCTTCCTTTAGCTTCCCTTTGTAAAGCCCGGAGCCCTTGCTAATAAAAAAAATAACGACTCAGGAACATCTTGGGTTGCATCCAACATCGAGATATTCATGCAACTGACTCATGGTACTGCAAAAAAACTTGGAACATTATGGCCTTGATAAACCAAGAATACATGTACTGTAAGCAGATAAGGCCGTCTGTTGGGAGAGCTAAAAAATGCTAGAGAAGCAGTTACTCTCTCACGTTACGTTTTAGTGATGCTAAATGGTTTTCAAGATCAATATGTCTCTAATTAGTCATAAACTTTAAGAACATTATGCACTGACATTTCTGATATTTTACTTTTATTTGTTAAAATTACTAAAAGTTAGTAACTACAGTGTGAGTGGATTCTTCACTTAATATATAGAGGGCCCAAAATGGATTTTAAAAACAAGGTGTTAATACAATTATAGGTACTGCAATAATAATAATAATATTTTATTAAAGATCAAAATCAAAGCTTCTGTAAAAACTATTATAATACTAGAAAATGTGTTTCTTTTCTTGCTAGGTTAATGTAATATAGTTGCTGTGCTGCAGTTTTCAGATTGTACTTAATATAAAATCCATGTATGTTTATGAAAGTGGTCGATTGTGTGTCATTAAATTTTATTACATAGCACTTGTGTGATTTTTTAGCTTATTTCCTAAGCTAAAAGGATTATTAGTTTTTGAAGATCTCCACATGATCATAATGGAAACAATTTTGTCTTCTCAAGCTAAAAAACCTCTTTTATTCAAGCTGTAAATAACAGTGGTTAAGGAATTGAGGAACTAGATTAATGACTAGTGCTGAATTATTTAGAGAATTCCATCAAAAAATATACCAAAGTCTTGTTAACATATCAATCAATTAAATTTTTTGTTCTATTGATCTTTAGATTTGTGCAGTGGACATACTATTACTAACACCTAATAAAAACTTCTACTACTGCTACTACTACCAATAATAACAATTTTCTGTGATGATAATTAAGGTACATGTATGTAAACTCACAATACTTTTTACCATAACAACATTGCCCTAATTCCATTATCAATTATTTTGTTTATTTGTAGCTATTTTGCACTAGTTGTTATTCTCTGTTTCATGGGTCAAGAAAAATCACTCCAACCAACTAGATTTATACATGTACCTGCAAGCAAGGTGTAGATATGATGTAGGGGACAAGAGCAAGAATGAAAAGTTTGGAGATGCATCAGCCCCTTTTATCCTCCTTCACCCCTTCCCCACCCTCCAAAATCCTGAGTCGAGAGCCTGCTTACGGGCTAATTGTTTGGTCTACTCATCAGAGCTTGCATCAAGATTTAAATATCATGATACTTTTGACTTGAGAAGGGCACTTGTTTGAGTTCAATAATATTATGAACAGTAAAAAAGTAAATATTTTTTTATCATTTTTGTTGAGCACAACTGGCTCTGCAATACCAGCAATCAACTGTCCAGAAAATATCAATTTTTTGATACTAAACTATAGTATATACTCTTAGAAATTTTCATAGAAATCTACTTGTTATGTATTGATAATATTTTGGCAGCTAAAGATTCAAAATATATTTTACCGTCGATCTAGTCCACTTAAAATGTAGTCATGAATAAACTGAAAGAAAAGGAAATGCACCTACA